ATGGGTCGTAGAGGAATACCGTTTTTATGGGTTTTTGGTAATCCATAGAGTCATGGAATGTGGGAACCTGTGGGTTTTGGCGAAGAAACGGTTTTGTTGTCAACCAAATTATTATCCAACAAAAGTTTGATAGTCTTCCAGGCTGAATCTTCTAGTACTTTAGTTTCATCTTTACCTTTCAATTCTAGAGAAATTTGCTAGAATCATTTAAGATGGCCTTCATTTTACTGGCATAGTCCTTGCGATTGAGAATAACTGCTCAATGCCCTTTGTCCGATTTGGAAATAACTATTTCTTTGTGGCATTTCAACTCGAAAAGAGCATTTGTGTAGTCTTTGGTTATAGGAGAACGGTGTGTTATTAGAGCTCTCCGGTATTGATGGGCAATGTCCACAAGTTTTGCTTTCATCCATCCTTGATCATCAATAGAACGTGGTTTAAGGTCGGATAGTTGAGCGTACAAATCTTCGAATTGCGCTTCAACGTCTACAGGGTTTATTCGTTTGTACGGCAAACAAAAATCAAGTCCTAATGAAAGGGCCTCTGTTTGCAGCTTGTTAAGTTGGAAGTCAGAAAGACTCAACATGAATTCGTCCGGGTTTGAAGGGAAGATCTCATCGTTAGGCTTATTGCAAATTGACTTAAGTATCTCTAGTCTTCCCTTTGTATGCTATACGTATGTTTTATGAATATGCACCAACAGTAAAAGCCAATCTTGTCAAGCATGTGATAAGTCTGATGCAGAAGAGATTTGTTGTGATCCAGCGACTGAATAGAATCCTCTATTTTAGATTGTGTGAGACGGTCAAGATTTTTGAAGGTTTGGCGTACTTTTCCGAGTCGAAGAACTTTGTAAAACTCAAAAGGGTATGCCTTATTTAATAGACAATTCTGTAGAAATTCAATTCGTGTCTTCTCTTTCGTAATTCGGCATCGTAATTGCAAAAGTCTTTCCAAAGACTTGATGGTGTCCAAGGGAAGGTGCTGTTTCAGAACTTTGAAGCATGATGTTCCCAGAGAGAACTTAAAGATGGTTATAGCTGTAAGAGTTAATGGCAACATAAATTTCAGGAGAGCTCCTCAGTTACAACCCCTCATTGCATTAAGGTCTACGAATGAGAAAAACACGAAATTGAATATGTAGGAGCTCTCCCGAATATTATGGTGCCATTAAATCTTACAGCTATAACCATCTTCAAGTTAAACTTTAGTCTTTAACGTGAACAAGTGTCTTCCCCTTAAGTAAATACTTTCCGAACGCTGGGAATCTGTACATTTATATTACGACCGGGGCCTTAACACCATTTGAAGGAAGAAATGCCGAGGTTACCCTCGCGCCGTTGGCCTGGATCCACTCCTTCTATGTCTGCAGCCGGTGACCAATAAGCGCACCAAGGGCTTCATAGCTGCACAAAAAAGCGCGAACTGCGTAGAGAAACCTAGCGTTTAAATGACGTTTGGTCTTTTCAAAAACCAACGAAGTCTTAAACAACCTAATGAGTTTTATGATGTCGGTTTGGGAGAATACTAAGCAATAGAAGTAGGTGAATATTCTTTAAAGTAAATGTAAAAGGGAGAAATGCATACTCAAAAAGAATCTTTGGAAGAAAACACGGAATGTTCGCACAGCAGTTCAGTAAGCACGGACGCGTGAACCAATAATTAGAGGATATTAGTTAATCAATATCTCGTAAATGTTAACCAAATTCCACACTATACAGCACGCAGATATGCGCTAAAAAACGTTTATTTAATAAAGCCCGAGACGCTGACTTGCCTACTCTTCAAATGCAACTGACAGGCGTACATATGTACCATGAGGTAATATAGCTACCTCCCCTTGTTTACAGCATATATCGATTCTTCCGACCTAACTGGAAGCAATATACGGTAGGACTGTCTTTAGAGGTCCTATTTGCCTTTGACTTATAAAAATAACCTAGTTTTACATTTTCAGTACCTGGAATTTCGTTTTTTCGTTAACTCCTGCCAAGATAAGGCTAACTTTCCGGCAATGGGCATCGGTTGCCTGAGCAGCAGGAGTTTAACTTGGTGGGGTTGATTCCATTTAGTACATTGAAAAAAAATATATGTTTCTTTAATTTTAATAGTTTTGATTACTTCCAACACAATTAAATAATAATTTACGCTCGCTAAGCCAGAATTAAATGCTTACTCACAAATTACTTAAGGCAGTTTGGTGGTGTGAATAGATATTTAGGCGGCCCTGCAAGACAGTTTTGCCTATTATACAGCATATAGTTGGAGGCCAAAACGGAAATTCATCGATAGCATAGACAGAAAAAGGGCGCAACACGTATTCAAAGCTAAGAAATCTACGGTGGGTCTCTAGATTAATTAAGTCGACCCTAGAGATATGAATACTAGCCCTCAGTTTCTCGAGTCATGGTCTACGAAGTACAATCACTTTCCCAACTCATATTCGGTGCTTGTACACAATTCTTCCAAAACAAGTAGCCCTTCCGGCAGTGCACAGGCGGATATGTGTTCCGTCGGCATTGCTGGTGTGTCAGAGAGCCGAGCGATTTTGATGCAAATATCTAAAACGGATGATGTTATTACAGTAGGTAATGATATGTATACTGCCCATCTACTAAAAGGCGCGGCAGAGGACAGTTATCGTTAATGAAAGGGAGAAAATTACCTGTCATATGTAACAAAACGACTGCATATTATGTACATTGCAAATCCCTTCGTAAAAATCACCCGTATTTGATGTTGCCTCCGATGGTGAACGCGAGAATAAAACCGAAACGTCAAATGAATAAAGTTCTTATCCCAGTGACTACGTCTACGTCTTCCCAATCGTTTCTTTTTTTCTCTTGTATTGGTAGACAAAATTTAAGCTGTTTGAACCCTATAATTACTATTGGCAGCAGTTGAATATCAGTTTGGGTTCCCGTAAATACTTTGTTCGAAATGGTTCTGGTGTTCTGGTATGCGAATATGTGTAATTTTAGTCTGCATTTCGAAAAACGATATAAGGAAATCAATCGAAAATAATGGGTCAGCTGCAAGAAATGAATTGAAACGCCATACTAAGTTCCAGCCCGGGACTGAATGGTTCTTACTAACTAAGTGAACTTAGTACTTGTCAGAGAGCTATAACCAGCTTTGTAGAAGACTCCGGGCTTCTTGACTTAAGTGACTGGTACATTCATTAAGAACTACTGACGGGGAATCAGTCAATCGTGAAACTACCTACTGACGACACTGAAGAATGGTTATCTTAGCGGATAGGATTTTTCCGGAAACCAGAATAAGTTAATAATCCTGCCGTGAGCCTATATGTAAGTAAATATCTGAGTACTCAGACGTGCAATGAAAAAAGGCGGCTTAAACATGCATGCGAGCCCCAAGTTATAAAACATCACATGTATCATGTTCTAATGGTCTTAACTTGTCAGAACATTGCGTCCTAATTGTCTCGAAAGCATGCTGAACCACCGAGGTTATGCTCGAAAATTTTGTAAGCCATGAATATATGAACCAACCTTTATTAAATATACGTAAGACTCAACCTGCAATACAGCTCGTTTCTATTGAGCCTTCTGTGTGCTAGGGAAAGTTAAAATAGAATCACTGCAGCATTTATTTAGATAACGTGTCTGCCCTTCAGAACACAGTAATCTCTCCTACCAACGACGATGTGAGCTTACTAACCATGATCCGTTATGGCTTCAAAGATTACAGATGGGACGATTTTTCTTGTTTAAACAGTTAAGCGGTCTTACTTTTAATGACTTTAGTACTCTGCGATAGCCGGACCCCTCTCAGTTCACTAGACATCGAGATGACTTTTTATATTCTTGCACTGAGACTTACAGTAAGATACCGCTGTTTTATTCAGCAAAAGCCATAGCAAACTGGCATACGTTACACAGAAGTATTAAAATTCAGCGAAGTTTTCCTTTGTTTAAGAGAGTTATTATTAATTTCCTGCATTCAGGACACATTTCAAAAACTGTGGATGCTGACTCGATGAAATCTATCTTTCGCTCTGGTGACGTTTGCGAACTTTAGCCGACAAACTTTAGCCGACACATCTTTATCTGGCGTAGATTACCGGATTCATAACGCTGAAGGGAGAGTAACAACACTCTGCATCTGTGTAAAAACCTTTCCCTCCCAAACATTAATCTCAGAAACAACTGCATTAGTTCTTCTGAAAAACAGCACTTACTTGCAAACACTAAAAAGAAAGTTAATGAGATTTTCACGGGCAGGTGGATTTCCTACTGTTAATTTATTTTGACGTTGAATATAACCAGGCAATAACTAAATAAATAAATATATTTGCAATCTGTAGATGAAGTGATTGAAAACCCTTATAACGGACTGTTCAGATTGCGGATACAATTAAGGAGTGTCGGTAAATAAGATTATAATTTGTACGGTGTACTGAAAGAGTTTGCATCAGAATTTGTAGTGATGGAATACAAAAATGATTTTGATCGAGGAGTGATGCTTATGTCTGGCCGTTAATTCTCATGCAGTTAAGGTTTTGATTATCAAAAATAAAGCATTTCAACTACCTTTCCAATACAGATACAATATGAGAAGTGGGCTTTTTTTTGCAACTCCTGCTGTCCGGCACCAAACATGCGATTAAAAGAAGCCTGTAAGCAATAACAGATGCCCAAAAGAAGTCAAAATCGTCGCAAAATAATATGTGATTTGCTTAAATATTGAATGATACACCCAATTTCCAGGGTGAACTAATGGCGTTTAAAAGCACTAACATGATTCAAGGACAGTTTGTTGTGACCTTTGCTACCATAGTTACATTTTTGATATATAAATGACCGTGCAGATGTTTCGATGTCTCAGGGAGATGGCTTCGGCGCGGATAAGCCTTGAAATGCCCCCTAATATAGACCCATCGAGGGCAACTTTGGCGTATGGCAGACTTGCACTTCCGCGATTGGTAAGAAACTTCGTACAGCCCACTCGGCTTCACTTTGGAAAGCCGCATTCAACTGTACAGTTGAATGCGGCCACGTGGCAAAATAAAGGAGAATTCTAATCTACATAAATTAATCAAGGGTTTTCTTTAATCGGGGGTGGACATATGCTAACTGACTCAAGTGTTCTTCGCTGAAGAAATGAGCTAATTGGCATATTATAATATGCAACCGTTTTAAAAGCGGATTTCACTGAAAAATAGTAAAATGAAAAAGTCACGCAGTTGTAGTCTATAGCATGCATTCTTTTGATTTGAGATGGCATGTTTTATTTTTAATATACCTGACAGAATTTTCATAAATAGCGCAGAAACTTATTTAATTTCTAGTTATTATGGATATATCCATATCCATCCACCTCTGACGGCTATTTTATGTTTCAGTATTAGTACTGAAGTAAAGGATTTGCTATGCACCATTTACTTCGGGGAGTTCAACGAGAAAATAACTTCCAGTGTTTAACTTAATATTTCCCTGTCTCCTAAA